TAGAAGAAGAAAAAAGAGAAGAATTGATGGATCTAAAGAGAGAAATTTTGTTAGAAACACTATTGATAACCAAATATAAGCTGATTAAAGAAGCAAATGGAGGGTTTTGAGATTATATAAGATATGCAACAAACAACAAGTTACGAAGAGAAGTCCATACAAATCTTATTAAGGAAACAACCAGGAGACTAATCCCACAAATGGCAAAAGACATGAGACTGCACTATTACTGGGAAGACACAGATTGATATATGAAAGCTTATAATAAAAAATTAGTCAAATTTAGTTACATTTAGAGCATTATGTAAAAAAATGAAGTGATAATGGATATAGTTAGATAAATAATTGATAATGATAACAATGAATACATATGTATTGGTTTGATAAGAGGAAATTTGATATAAATTGCAAATGGTGATTACGAAAGGAAGTTTGGAAATTCTGTTATGTATGAAAGCTTGTATTAAAAAATTAAGTCAAATTTCGTTAAAATTAATGTATATATATGTACTTGTTTGATAAAAGGAAATTGGATATAAATTGTAAACAGTGATTAAGAAAGGTCTAGAAACTTTGTCATAAAATATAATCAATTTTTTTTATTTAAAACATGTCATAAAGATGTAATGTTACTGGATAATAATGGAAACAGTTAACGGAATGCCATTGTTTTTTTCTTTAAATTTTGGAATTCTTTATATAAAAGGACATAAAAACAATTATAGTCAAATGAAGGTTGAGGTATGATGACTGTAATATATAAAAAATATATTTGATTTAAAATATATAACTTGATATGAATTGTAGGTGATGATTGTGGAAGGGATGCACGGAATTTTTTTGTAACCAATTGACACACTTTCTACAATTTGTAATGGAAGATGGTTTTGTGGTGTTTTTTGTGTTTTGTTTGTGTTTATTCAAAGAAGTGAAAACTGCCTAGATGGCTTTGGGCCAATCATTAGGGGACTGTGAGTTCTAGTCCCACTTTAGGCATGAAAGCCAGCTGGGTGACTGGGCCAGCCACTCTCACAGCACAGTCCACCTCACAGAGGAGTTGTTGTGGGGAAAATAGGAGGAGGAAGGAGTATCATATGTGTTTGCTGTTTTATTTGTAAAAATAATAAAGGCAAGATATGAATAAATAAATCTGAAAAGACAATCCCTACCCTGAGCGATGAAGTTCCTCTCAAACTTCTGCAGAAATTCAAGGTAGAGAAGATCATCAGAAGTAAGTGCTTCTTCTCCTACTACTGCCTTCATGGCTTGGACATCCTTCCCAATGGCATAGCAGGCATACTAGACAAAAACAAAACACTAAATTAAAGAACTGTGAAGTTTATTAAGAAACACGTCTCCATATTTCAAGCAGTTCATTAGATATACTTGTGGTTTATTGGGATCCTACCTCTCATAAACATTGAGGGTATAGTTTTTTTTATTAAAGATTTATCTTCCATAAGTAAAAAAAATCTAATAAAGGAAAGAGAGAAGGAAAGAGAAAAAGGAAGAAAGAAAGGAAGGAAGGAAGGAAGGAAGGAAGGAAGGAAGGAAGGAAGGAAGAGAAGCTTTTTAATGCAACAAAATGGAGGAATTACAGATCTCTTTTAGTCATTCCACTTACCAGCTGGTTTGATACTTCAGCATGATCCTTTCTAGTCATTCCCTCCCCAATAGCAGATTTCATCAATCGAGACAAAGAAGGAAGTACATTGATGGGTGGGTAAATCTGGAAGAAGAACCAGGTTTTAACAACAGCTCTGAAAATTTGGAAATGCGACTTCCAGGGAAAGAAATGATGGACTGAAGAAGGCTCTGTGAAAAGCGAAGCCAGTAATCGTGGCAGAACGCAGAGATGGCAAATAGACCAGGCTCTTTCATAATATTCCTTCCTGGACAATCAAACCAGTGACTTCATGTATAACAGGCACAAAGCAGCATTTTACAACATGAAATACTAACCTGTCGGTTGTGCAGCTGCCTGTCTACGTAGATTTGGCCTTCGGTAATATATCCCGTTAAATCAGGAATAGGATGTGTTATATCTGCAAGAGAAGTTGCATCAGAGCTTTTCAGTTTCCGTGCAAATTGAATGACCAATTACTGATATGTTTCATATACAACCTACTGAGCCACAAGAGCTGTGATGGCATAGTGGTTAGAATGCAGTATTACAGAGTAATTCTACCGACTGAGAGCAGTTCGATTCTCAAGGTTGACTCAGCCTCAAGGTTGACAGCCTTCCGTCCTTCCAAGATGGGTAAAATGAGGACCCAGATTGTTTGGGGGGGGTGCTGCCTCTGTAAACAACTTAGAGAGGGCTTAAAACACTATGAAGTGGTATATAAGTCTAAGTGCAATTGCTATTTACATCTTAGTGTGTTCAATGAACCCAGCCATTATGGTTTATTTATCACTGAGCACAAACTATAAATCCAGCCAACTTGCCCAAGCAGAAGGAACAAAAAAAGTGGTCCAAATACAAAAATCTACTAATGAAGGAAAGTTGGGGAAAGCAAGAACCACCTAATGCTGGGGAGAAACCTTTCCCTTGCCTAGGAAGGCTGTGCAAAAAACTTCTGGAGTTACAAAACGCAGCTGCCCAGATGCTCATAACACCAGTGTCTGAATTGTGAAAGGTTTGCCCATCAGGCTTAATCCATTTAATCTTAGCTTGCAGGGCGAGGTATCTTAGCATCAGTTGAAGGAGGTTGAGAGAAGCTCCATGACTAAAAATAAGCCTGAAAGAGAACTTACCATCGTTGGGCATGGTAAGAATGGGGATCTGGGTAATGGACCCGTTCCTGCCTTCTACTCGTCCAGCTCGTTCATAGATTGTGGCCAAATCTGTGTACATGTAGCCAGGAAAACCACGCCGACCTGGGACTTCTTCTCTGGCAGCTGAGACCTTTGGGAAATGAAGGTAAACAGGTTGGAATAATCAGCAGAAAGAAGAAAATAAAAAGGGGTCTTCAAACTTCTGCCCCCAAAGCTACCCTTCTCTGATTTAGCCTTTGGCCCCTGCACACCAGAGGATCCCTAGTTTTCATCCTCTGATCTCTCTGTGAAAATTAAGACTGTTGCCACCCCCTTAACATAAAGAACTCAGAGTCTAGCTTGGGTGTCGGAACTCTGGAGTGGCTCTTTGGACCCTCTGCTGAGGCTCCCTGTCAGGTGATCCTACCACTGGCTGGCCCTGCCCCTCGCCCTCCCAGTCACTCCTCGCCTGAGAAGGTAAGGGCAACAGTAGCGGATGGAGATTTGCTCCATATTCCAGAGCGGGAGAGAAGAGCTTCTGTACTTGCCTCTTCCTCCGGCCCTTGTTGGTGCCACTTGCACCTCGGTCACTCGGGGAGATGCACGACTTCCTCTCCGCCCGGAGATACTGGCCCGGCCCGGCTGCCTCCATAGCCTGCTTGCTGCTCTTGCAGCACTCTGCACAGCAGACTTAAATTTAGCATGTTTCACAATGGGGGAGATGGCATCCCCTCTTCCTCCTGGAACCCATTACGATGCACAGCATCAGCCGGGCCAGGCTGGTGTTTCAGGGCAGAGAGAAAGCTGCGCGTCTCCCCGAGCGACTGAGGTGCGTTGCAGCCCCAACAAGGACCAGAAAAAGAGGCAAACACAGGGGCGCTTCTCTCCTGCTCTGGAACATGGAGCGAGTCTCCACCCGCCACCGTTCTCAGGCGAGGAGTGACTGGGAGGGGAAGGTGAGGGGCAGGAGCAGGCAGTGGTGGGTTCAGTCAACAGGAAGCCGCAGCAGAGGGAGGAAAGAGTTTCATTTATCTGGGAACCTGTTAGGAATATAATTCTAACAGTTGGGTTGGCAATATATAAATCATGTAACAATGCTATACCTGTTTCTTTAAATCATACT